TATCTTCTTACCCCATGGTCCACCAGGCCGACTCTTTAGCTAAAGCATTATTGACACGTAGGCAGAACAATATTTGCTGAGAGGGAGCGAGCGGAGCACCGCATGCGTGTCTGCTTCACCTTTTATTAAAAAATATTTAGTTTGTGGAGGATGTCCCCCGTAATTCCGTACTTATAATAATTGACAATGACGCCTACCTAATTTTCAAGATTGAGTGATCCATAGGCCATTTAAAATAAATAAAAAAATATTTAAAAAATAGCGCATTAATTACATTTTGTATATTTTTTTCTTAGGTAAATTGAATAAAATATTTTTGCGCTAAGAGCACAACTATTATTATTAAATTAATTTTTATTGCAATTTTCTTAAGTATATCGTGAATTTTAACAGGAAAATGATAAGCATGTTTGTTCTCTCATTAATCATTATGTAGTGCCGCAATCGATCAAATAGTTATGAAATGACGAGATTTCCCTCATTCTCGATCCTCAGCATAAATAGCATCAATTGTGCAGATGCTGCTTATGGGCAATCTCTATATAGAGGGTGAGGTTGAGTCGGCTTATTCAAAGAGATGAATGAATTGTGGTGAGATTAAAGTTTCGCTTGGGACAACTTTTTAATTATTTTTAAAAGCAGACTTTAAGTATAATTTTTTTTATTTAAAATATTTTTTACTAAAAAATTACTTTACAAAGCATTAAAAAAGGCGCCGTCCCAAATGAAGCATAAAATTCCCTAGCTTTTTCAAATTATAAATGATAATAGTAATTGGTCTATATGTCACCATGTCTCATAAATTATAATTATAAACTTTTTATCTTAATTTTAAAAATTCTAATTTAATGATTTAATTTTTTGAAATTATTACAAAATTTGTTATGATATTATGAAATATTTATCTATTCTTTATGACATTTGCAATATTATTCACCTAATAAATTTCATCTTCTTAAGTAAAATATGCTACATATAATCATTAGTATTAAGTTTCATTTGGGACAAATTTTTTTTATTTTTAAAATATTTTTTTTACAATAAATTTTATTTTTTAAAAAAAATTGTACGAAAAATTTACTTTGCAAAGTAGTACCAAAACTGTCTTAAATGAAGCTTTTTAGTTCTCTCATTTTTTTAACTAAGGATAATTTATTTCATCTTTTTTTCTATTAAAAGTTTACTTCATCACTTATTAGTTATTAATTTATGGCTATAGGACAATAAAGAGTTTATTTTCATCATTTAATTGCACTTTTTTAATAAATATCGGCAGATAAAAGGAAAAAAAAAATCGATAATGGAAAAGAGATTAAAGACAAATGCAGTACCTCTCTGCTACGTTTAGTGCTCCTAAAGTGGATAGGTAAGTCGTAGTGGATAAGATAAAATTAGGTTAGTGCTTCTCTCATCACTACCTTTTGTAACTTTTCATAAAAATAGATATTATAAGACTAATATGATGATAGAAGAGTTGCCTGCATGCAACACAACTTAGTTTATTGGTTGAGAGTTTATGCTATTAATGAAGAGATCTTGAATTTGAAACTTGCATATGTGATAAGTGTGTGAGCTTGTCTTTAATTCACTCACGCCATAAACATGGATTGCCCGACATGCTGTTTTTAGCACAAACCAATGTTATTTTCTGTCTCTTCAAAGCAATCGCAACATATTCAACATTATTTATGATCGACCATCCATGTAATGCAAATTGCAGGTCCTCTCTTTAGTGAAACATATTCCCTTAAAGACAAATGCAGTACCTCTCTGCTACGTTTAGTGCTCCTAAAGTGGATAGGTAAGTCGTAGTGGATAAGATAAAATTAGGTTAGTGCTTCTCTCATCACTACCTTTTGTAACTTTTCATAAAAATATATATTATAAGACTAATATGATGATAGAAGAGTTGCCTGCATGCAACACAACTTAGTTTATTGGTTGAGAGTTGAAAACTCTTCTTCGACTTGGTACTAAATATTGTCATTATCATCTATTACATCCTCATCCCATTCCTGAGTGCTCAAACATGTCTTAACAAAATTATTATTTGCAATCATGCCCTCTACAATGTCAATATTAGTGTAACAATATCGTTGTATGGCGCTATTTATCTCAGTATTCATATCAATATTCACTTCATCTACACCACATACTACATGATCACCATCACCCGGCTCGCTGGATCCGCTGCTCATCGCTTCATAACCATCATCAACAGCGAGTGATGATCTCACGGAAGGTCCCAATACATTATGACAATGATTTTGTTGCCTTTCCTCCATTACAAAAAAGAAAAAAGAAAGAATATATGTTAATAAAAATAATACATCCATAAATTTATACTTGAATCAATAGGGATTAACATGAAGAACTTACGTAGCATATTGCGGTTCAACTAGTGGAATCATCGAACCACCTTCTATTCTTTCCTCCAAACTGAATGATTCATGCACTTGGGGTGTGATATTCTTAGCATTATTACTAAGCTATTTTATCTATTCAACCTCCACATATCCAATAGCATGCGATAATACTATTTCATATACCTCATCATTCTCCACGGCCGAAGCTATAAATTGATCATTCCCTAAGGGCAAATGACAAACTAATATAGAAATATACTTTGATGTATCATATTTAAGTGCTTTGAGTACCCTAAACTTTAACTGCTTCAATTTCGTGTTAGCTATCAATTACAAGGGATGATAAGTACCACAAATATATGTTGGTGCATACTTATCATCTAAAGAAAATTATTCGCCATAAATAAGAACAAATACGCTCCTTGTCTAGAAATCACTGGGCTTTTTGCTTACATAAATCAACATCATTCATAAAAAACATCATTTATCATAAATTATAATATTGAATACAAAATTATAGTTTTAATGTTACAAATTAAATTAATATAAATATATTTAAAAATAATACATAATAATTTTACAGTTAATTATCATATTAAAAGGCACAAAAAAAAACACAATCCAGCATTGCAAAAACACAAATAATAAAATACTTGGAATTCCAAAAAATAAAATATCAAAAGACTGTTTGGCCAAGAAAATGACATATAACTAAACCTAACAAAATTACTTAGGTGAGATCTAAATATAATGTATATACTTAGAAAGAACTTCGCCTAATTTAAAATAAACACAACATATAGCAATTTTAACCACAAAAAAATTAAATGAAAAAAAAAAAAAACTAACCTCAAACTAGTTTTCGGGGGATAAAAGGGATATGGCTGAACGGGCGACATTGCCAACTTAAAAAAAAATAAAAAATAAAAAATAAAAATTAAAAAAAAAACTTTCTGTTGGTTAACTGACTAAATTAAATTAATAAGATACTTAGTTTAAAATTTTACCCTATAATTTTATACTTTTTGTAATAATTTGTCATCAGTTCATATCCAAATATGAATGCGCTCAACTCTGAATTTTTCTTATGAAATTTTAACTCTTAAACCAAAAAGATACCATACATATTTTCTCTCAAATCTTTACTTTTATAGCACTTAAACTTTCCTCTTCTCAGTGCTAAATTCTTCATATCTTCTTTTCTTTTACAAAAAGCTACTTATTTGATTTACGAGAGACCCACACGCTAAGCCATCACAAGCGCTTTTAGTTTCTAATGAACAATCTTCCATAACAAAATTACATTGAAGATTTACAGCAAATTTTCAGCAGGTTTGAATTCCATCCATTTACAGCAAATCAATATTCTGTCACAATACAATAATGTAATTTTTTATATCATTTTGCCCTAAACTTTTTATCTTCATGATTCAAAAATAATAAATTTTGATATTAATTATCTGCAACTTCATTGTTTTAACCAATCTTACAGGTCCAATGAGGCTTTGATACATCAGCAGTAAGCACTGAAAGGTGCCAGCTGCGTGTAAATTATAATTACTTGGTGAAGAAGCATTGACTGCAGAACCATAATGGAAATCCTACAGAGACCAACTTGTTTCCATAGCACTTTAATGAACTCCACTTGGCCTTAAAATGGCCGCTGAAGGCTCTTCTGATGTGAATTCGTGGACCAGTGAAGATCAGAAACTTCAGAGAAGGAAGAAGAAGATGGGAGAAATGGCTATTCATGCATGGCTTTTGATGCTAAAGGTGGAAACTTTGGAGATATACTAAGAAAGGAAAGATAAGATCTATCTGTTAAGCTTGCTAAGGTATTCATTATCATATGTGCATATGTAATATGTTCATGTCATGCTTAATTTCTATTTTATAATGCATTATTTCTTCTAGCTAATGCATTAGATTTTTGGTGTAAAATTTATCATCATTATATCATCTTCATGTAATTATGTTATGCATGCATGATGAAAAACTATCATGTATGTTATTTACAAATCATACATCCTCATACATCAATCATGTCATATAAATAAGCATGCTAAATTTTTTTTTTTACTTTTTTTATATTTTTTCATTATTCGTTTTCTATATTAATTTATATTTTTAATTTTGTTTTTTCTAATTAGAAGCATCAAAATTATAATCCTTGCTATTGATTTAAAGTAAAATTAGTGTTTATAAAATAGCTCAACTTGACTTAATAAATGGATCGTGGCTTAAATTCAATGAGTTAATATTTGTCAATAATTTGTTTTAAGTATACTAAAATTATTTTTCATAAGAGAGATAAGTTAAATTCAAAAATATAAATAAATTTAATAAATGATAAAATTATGTAAAGCAATATAATAAATATCATCATAAATATGTAATTGGTAATCTTTTGATTTTCATATTGAATTTTAAAATAAAATATTTATATTTTTTAGATATTAAAATTTCTTGATTAATTGTCAAAACACCAGATCAAAATATTTTCAAATCACACACACCATTCCTCAAAATTTAGAGCTGTTCAATTAAATGAGTCAAATTTGAATCCTTCCACCCGTTGCTACCGCTAACACGTGGCATAGTAAAGACTACTACAGGTAAGATGGCGCGAAATCGGTTCCCGACCTAGTCTGAGCATCGCCTGAAACCCCAAAAAAAAATCCCAGGCCCTAAATTTCCTGTGCTTGTTGCCACCCTTATTCAAAATTTCAAAGATTTCAGGTCGAGGTCGAGCAGATGGGGAGCATTGGAATCTCCTCCGTCCCAACTATCCAAAAAATTGTTCTTTGCAGTGGAGTTCAAAGTTCCTCGGTCGACAACTCATGGAAGTCGGATTCTATGAGATGCTCCTCGGAATGGAAACGGTCCTGGAACTCAATTCGAGCAACGAAAGCGAGGGAGCATTCCATTGTTGCTTTAAAGCTCAGGAAGCGGAGCATTTCCAGGCTTCTGGCATCTTAACCTTTGTTTGTATTCTCTTTAACGTATATGGGACGCCGAGACTGAGACAAAGCTGAATTTTGTATCTTGAGGAGGTGGATTCCCTTTTTGTTATGTTGGTAGATAGCCAGTGGAAAGAAAGCAGTGAAATTGGGTGAATTCGTATGATTTTATCTTGTTTCCGGTCTTTCTTTCACTTTCTTCCTCTCTGAAGTCATCTCCTGTTCTTGAATGTTTTTGTTTGACTGCTTGGACGTACGAGATCCATAAGTTTAGACTCGAATTTTTGTGGCCTCTTCTTAAATTTTGGAATTTTCTGAAGCCTTTCATGCGCTGCTATGTTGCCAAGTCACTCAATAATTAAGCTGTGGAGAGTTTGATTCGAAGGACAGAATCTAATTGGGACATCAAAGTTTTTTTTTTAGCGAATTTAATCTCAAAACATAATCCAAAATTTCATTTTTGGAGACCTAAACTATCAATCAATAGACTAAAGTGGGCTACATCACCCTGATTCCCTTTCTCCCATATTATGAAATTCTTATTCCTTCGATGCCGCTCTGAAATTTTTTTATTTCTATTTCTGTTTTTTTTTTTTAACCCAAATGGTAGTTTGTTTTCCTTACAAGAATCTGCCAGACTGATAGCTACTGTTTTGTCGGCTACAGGGGATTCACAGAACTTGGGTGGGCTTCACTTATGGCCTATGCATTTAAAGCGCCATTGTTTTTCTTTGATTTTTCATGCTAGAAGACGCTTGCATGATAAGTTTTCCTGTTAACATCAGGATTCGCATTTGAAGACTTTTCTAGCCGAAGTATGATTTTACCAGCTTAATGTTTTCTTTAAGGCCATTTCTCTTCTAAGCATTTGTCTCCTTCATAACAGCATCTCATTAACTGCAGGAGGATTTATTATAACTTTCCAGAGAGTTCTTGCTATCTACTAGAGAAATCTGGAACCTCATCTTTTATTCTCACCCAGAGGGTCATTTACTTATGGAAAACACCCATGATTCATCAAATAAGGTACTTTGTGTCCAAGATAATCTAAATGAAACAAGAAGAACACCTCATGTATTGGTCAATGAAAGTGAGACTACAACTAATGATAAAACTGTGGATGGTGTTCCAATTCTATCGGCTCCGGTAATTCCAAGGAAGACTGGAATTTATCTTTTCTTCCACGACATACGGTAAGAGTTGCTGATTTACATGATCTCAACTTTATGCAGAACCTGCATATTGATGAGGTAGTTCATTAATTGCCTTTCAAAATGTTGCTATGGCTTCAACAAGATACCCATTTTGTTCTTCAGTCATAGCTAACTGCTGAGGGGTTTATGTTTATTCTATTACTGACTGGTCTAATTTTAGGTAGTGTTTATATTACATTTTCCATACTGTGAAAGTATTTAATCCACTGTATTTTTCATGTTTGAATGATCAGCTGTGTCTTCAAGTTGGATGAGCTAGGTAGGGAGGTTGCAAGAATTGCAATTCCTGCAGCGCTGGCTCTAGCAGCTGATCCTCTTGCTTCGTTGATCGATACCGCATTTATTGGTCGATTAGGTTTGTCACTGATCCTGAATTTTTTTCCTTTATTTATGCTTAAGGATTTTTCTGAATGCAATAATAATAATAATAATTCAATTTTAATAAAATCACCACCACCACCATCATCGTTATAATAATAACTTTATCTCAACTATTTGAGGGTGGATCTGGTTTTAATAAAATTAATTTCATAATGTCTTCCTGCTCATAGTTTGCTTAGAAGTTTTTTTTTTAATCCTAGAAGGCAAGGTAAAGAAAATAGATATTCCTAATTGATCTTTGGTTCTTCAAGTTGGATTTTGTTGTAGCTTACAGCTGAATCCTGATGCCAACAGTTCAAAAAGCAATAAGTCAGTGTCCAACTCAAGAGTTTTCCTCTCGAAAATGAACTCCAATGCTCATATTAGTAACTACGAGAGAGGGTCTATTTGTTGAATGGTAAGAGGATCATGTGCTGCTGGAATTTAAGAGCTGGAATGGTAAACCTCAAATCGCCCTGGAGGGCTCTTGATGTGGGGAAGCTGAACTCTTAGGATCCATAAGAGGCAAAGAACTTGGAAGCTAGAGGATTTCCTTGGAGTTTTAAAACTTTCTTGAAATAAAGAGATCCATTAAAATGACTAACCTTGAACTGATTTATAGACCTGTTTGGGGATATCCAGGAATAGTCAATTAGTGTCAAAATACTTAGAACACACGACTAAGCTTAGATTGGCTTTGTTTAAATTTGTTCAAGATAGAAAAGTCTGATTTTCTTCCATCTTGGATGGACAGGTGTAGACAATAGCCTCCATGCATAGATGACATTCTCAGGTGTAGAAGGGGTTGATTTTATTGGGTTTCCTTTGATATAAGTGACAGCTTGGATGATTAAGTTGTCTTAGAAAGTATGAAATGGAGAGGAGTCACATGTCAGTGACGTTATGAAGTTTGATCCTCCTGAGAGAAAGGGTGGTGCTTCCTCGGTTAGTCACTACAGTTCAGACATTATGCTCTTGGTGAAAAATATGAGGTTGATCTCATCATGAGAATAGTTCCAAATAATATCGCACAATACAGACAATGCTATAGGAATAGGGCTGCAAACGAACCGAGCCGAGCCGAGTATGTGAGTATTCATGTTTATGTTCATTTAATATTGGCTTGTTCAAGTTTGGTTCATGTTTGTTCGAGCTTTATTATTTGTGTTCATATTTGGTTCATTTAAATTAATGAGTGTTCATGTTCGGTTCATTTTCAGTTCATGTTCGTTTGTTTAGTGCTTATCGAGCTTTAAACAAACAAACATGAACGAGCTATAAACGATTTCTACTTTTAGATGTTCATTAACTTAACAAACGAGCTTTATCGAGCTTCCTAATAAATGATTACATCGAACATGTTCATAAACATATCTAACAATTTTTTTTAACTATCAAATAAATACGTTCCTGAACATATATTTGAGCAAACATATTTATAATAAAAGCAATTTTCTATGAACATAAAAGTAGCATCAATAAAGGAAATAATTTATAAATAAATAGTCATATCGAGCTTTTATCGAGCTTAATGTCGAGCTTGTTCATGAACTTCAAATGATGTTGTTCGCAAACATAAATGAGCCGAACACATTAGTGTTCAAGTTTGTTTATTTAATAATCGAGTATTTAAAATATTGTTCAAGTTCGTTTGTTTAGTTAATTAAAAGATCACGAATGAGTTTTAATCGAACCGAACATCGAGTAGCTCGTCGAACGTTTGGTTCGCTTGCAGCCCTATATAGGAATAATTCAAGGAAATTTTAAGGCACTTTTAAATTCAATTGGACAACAATTACTGCCCCTGCCAAACTTATTTATGTAGGTCAGTGAGCGTAAGTGATGTTTTACATGTGGATGTGATCCAATTTACTTCATATAAAAACCTACACTTGTTGTGTCCTAGAATATTCGCAACGATAGAGAAATATAGAGTTTAACGTCTTAGCTTTGTACAAAGATCCAACACACAATCAAATAAAAGAGAAGGGTGTAGCGTTCAGAAGAGACACCAGAGTTTTTACATGAAAACCCCTGAAGGGGGAAAAACCGTGGGGCTTGGCCCAATTTTAATGAATCCACTAGTGTTTGCAGTCGATTACAAATAAGGCCCTTCCTTGGGGAGAAGGCCTTTGCTTGATTTAGCAAATATACATCATATAGAGTGCATTACATGGTGGGAATTGGAAGAGTCAATATTGACATGTTTGTTTTGTCATCATGACCATAATCGGTAGGCGACATAGGTCGGAAGGGCCTTTATCTGATGATAGAGGTCGGAAAGATCATAGTCAGCGGGCGAAAGAGGTTAGAAATATCATAATCTGGCAATGGATGTTGAAAGGACCGTAGTCGACAAGTAACGAAGGTCAGATGGACCATTATTTGGCGACGGAGGTCGGAAATACTGTAGTATGACGACGGTTGTCGGAAAGAAATCGGACGATAATCGGTGGCCGGACGTAAGTCCAATAATAATTGGTGGTCGGGTGGAATTTCGGTGATGGTCGGTGGCCGGGCGTAAATTCGACAAAAAGTTAGTGGCCAGGATGAAGTTTGGTGACAATGGTGGTCGAGAATAAGTTCAGCGACAGTCGATGGCCAGACGATGGTCGAGGAGGAGCTTGGTGAGAAGAGAGATCCCAGATGTCTCTTCCTCTCCTCTCTTCTTTCTCTTCCTTGCTTCCCTGCTTCCTTCCTCTTCAAGAAGAATGAGATGTCTATTTATAGTTTTTTGGGAGTGACATGACCAATAAATTGGGAGGAGATCAAAGGCATGTTGAGAGTGTGTTGAATGGACGGCCGATATCTATTCCTTTTATCATGAACTGTTTATCGAGTATTTGAGTGTCTTAATGATGTCAGAATTCGACGAACTTGGACTCATTGGATTCGTCTTGTTGAGCCGCTCGATTCGTCTCGTTGAGCCGCTCGATTCGACTATAAGCATGTCACATTTGGAAACCTTTTGGTAATCCAATTTATGATTTGAACCTTCCAAATGCTCTTCAGATCTTTGATTTGGACCCATTTGGGCTTGGATTGGGTTGAATTTGGTGTTGTTGGGTTTGTCTTTTTGAGACATTCAGTTCAACTATAAGTTTGCAAAAATCAAAGTTTGGATGGCCCCAAATTTAATTTTGGAAGTTTCCAACTTAATATGGCCTTGAGATTCGTGCCCGATCATGATTAATTTTTTATGATATATCAACACTCATCCTAGATAATTGATAAAAGAATATTGTCGTTTTAATAGGTTAATTTTTATTACTCATTCACCTCATTTTGATTTTTATGTGTATTTATAATTCATTAAATGACAAAATAGAGAAAAATAAGCAGTATAATTTCACATATACTTGGATTACCTAAACACCCTTATATTTATTTTTGGTGCTAACTTTTAACTATTATTTTCGGCATTGGGACCAAATTAGATCAATTTTCAGTAGTCATTGGACTAAATTAATGTATTGCAAAACTCTGGAACTAAATTGTGCACTTGCTAATAGTCGGAATCCTATTTTGGGTTTTTCTCATATTTTGAAATCATGTATAGGTATATAACTCATAGAAGATTTGCTTCCATAGAAATGTTTTTGAAGATAAGGAAAGTCCTATGAGGACGCCTTGTATAACTGACTTCTTGGTATTTTCTTACTTTTTGTATTTCAGACCTCAGAAGCCACGAGTAATTATTTGCTTCTTTTTTTACCAGTTGTTTAGGTGATGAATCAATCAATGTTAGCCTTGATATTTTACCTTCTAAACAATGTCATTTACTACTTTTTTTGGGTGAATTGCTTACAGGTTCAGTGGAGCTTGCAGCTGTAGGAGTTTCTATTGCTATATTCAACCAAGTTTCAAAAGTTGCTATTTATCCTCTTGTTAGTGTTACAACATCCTTTGTAGCAGAGGAAGATGCTCTATGTAGCAACATCCTTGAAGAAAAAGGAAATGCAGACTTGGAAAAAGCTACTGTAATTGATGAAACTAAAGTGTCAGCTCCTTCTAGCGAAGGTATCCACCCTTCATAAAGTCATCCTTAGCGTTGAGTAATTCTGTATTTAAAGATGTAAAATGGAAAATTAAACTAATATAGCATAAAAAAGTTTGCACTTTGTACTAACACTATATTTATATTGGTGTAAACTCCTAAGTGGCTACCTTTTCTTTTCAACCAGTTTCAGATGCTAAGAAGATCGGAAGCAACTTGTCAAATATTGCCAATACATGCACAAACTTATCAACAACTGGAAAAAAGAGAAAATTCATACCGTCAGTGTCAACAGCCTTGTTTGTTGGCGTAGTTCTTGGAATGCTTCAGGCAATTCTTCTCATTGTTACAGCAAAATTCGTCTTGCACGTAATGGGAGTGAAAAGGGTATGTGGATAGGATTCAATTATGTTGAACTTTATTTCATTTCCTTCATTAAGTAGATATTGGTTTTGCAACTATTTCTGGGATTTTGTGAAATCATGATATGGACATGTTCTGTATTGAATCACATAGAGGAATACAGAGTAGTTGATAATTTGCATCACCAATTTTGGTACATCTTTTTACCTGTTATAGTATCCAGAAAACTCTTCATAAGGAGACAAATTAAACAAAAAAAAAAATCTAAATTGTGTATTTTGTGATGGTTTCATCTCTATAAAGCAAATATCCAAACAAACGCTAAATGTCTAAGATTGAATAGATAGGCACAAAAATACTCTTCTCTTTATGATAAATGATTGTAGCATGAGTTGCTTGATCCATACCACTAGCTAGAAAAGTAACAAATGTATATCATTTATTTTTTTCGTCTGAACTTTTTGTTTGTTCCTGATGAAAATAATAAAATTTCTTCATTGTTTCTATTATTAGACCACTTTTTAGAGCCCTGCAATTGATTTTTTTTTCTTTTTGATAGGGCTCTCCAATGCTAGCTCCGGCAATGAGATATTTGACATTAAGGTCTCTTGGTGCCCCTGCTGTACTCTTATCTTTGTCTATGCAAGGAGTGTTTCGTGGCTTTAAAGATACTAGAACGCCCTTATATGCTACCAGTGAGCATTAACTAGCCTCTTCCATAATTTTTTAGCACTGAGAGATTTCTCTCATATCTTATTATTTCGTGGCTTCATTCTTGTTTTTTGCAATATATCTGTTGATCTTTATACCATCTATTTTAAAAGAGACACCTTTAACTTTGAGCCCACCTATGCTAACATGCATGGCATTTATAATGCTCAAATTATAATTTTATTCCAACTTTTTTTTACTTTTTCACAATGCAGTGGCTGGAGATCTGACCAACATAATTTTGGACCCGATTCTGATATTTGTTTTCCATATGGGTGTCAGTGGTGCTGCCATTGCCCATGTCATATCTCAGTAAGTTCTACCACTTACCATTTGTGATGGTAATTATATGTGAAAACTCTCTTCGCTTTACATCTCATGACAAATTTTCTTGTAGGTACTTTATTACCTTGATACTGCTATGCAGATTAATCAACATGGTGGATATTGTTCCACATAGCATGAAATCTTTTAAATTTGCTAGGTTTCTCAGATGTGGTAAGATACTATGATTATTTTTAACATTCTCAATACTTTTGACTGAATCGTTTGGACCAAGTGCTTAGAAATTTCTGTTGAAAACCAGGATTTTTGCTGCTAGCAAGGGTAATTGCAGTGACATTTTGTGTGACAATGGCGGCATCACTTGCTGCACACCATGGACCAACTCCCATGGCTGCTTTCCAAATCTGCTTGCAAGTTTGGTTATCTACATCTCTTCTTGCTGATGGATTGGCTGTTGCTGGTCAGGTATATTCATGCCACTTCAAGTGGCAGATGTAGCCATCTTTCTCCCATTCGCACGCTTCTAATATTAAATCCTGTAAATCCGTGAACCGGGGGATTTAGTAAATCCGGGATTTAAGCCGTAAATCAGTAAATCCGGAATTTACGGAATCCGAGGATTTAATGCGCACACAAAAACCGTTTGGCTGGATTTAGCGTAAATCCGACTTAAATCCCAGGATTTACTTAAATCCCACGATAAATCCGATACCAAACAGCCCCTAAAGTAAGGAAAAAAAAAAAAACAAATGATCTGTAAATCTTTTGTAGGCTATATTGGCTAGTGCGTTTGCTAAAGGAGACCTTCAAAAAGTTGCAACGGCTACATCTCGTGTGTTGCAGGTAGTTACATCCTCACTGAAACTCTTCTAGATTTTGCCAATTGTGATATTTTATGGAAACTTATATGCAAGTGGGTTGCAGTTAAGCATAGTTCTCGGATTGGCCCTGTCTGCTTTGCTGGGATTTGGCTTGCAATTCGGTTCAGGAATCTTTACAAAAGACATCAATGTGATAAAACAAGTTCACAAAGCCATTCCTGTGAGTAGTCCAATAAAACAAAATTGTATGCAGATAATCCCAAGTTTACTGTTATTAATATAGAATGCTGCAGTATCTCATTTATATTATTTATAGTTTTAGCCTCAGATATAAAATATTTGATGCTCATTTGAAACATCATCATCATTAGCCTTATCCCAACTATTTGGAGCCGACTTTATGATTCCACATTTTATATTTGTTCACATGAGCTATAACCATCTTAACATTTTCATGATCATCGACCTCAAATTGTTGTAAGTTCATAATTCACATAGACTCATTTTGATTGTAAGTTTGCCGAATTCCGGCTTCGTTTGTGACAATTTTTTTTTCTGCTTCTTAAAGCAGCTTCCTAATTTTTATACTAGGAAGCTGTCTTAAAAAACAATAGAAAAGCCATCCCAAACGAAACCTTAATCTTTTGCCTCTTGCTTTAACCTTAAACATTATTTTATCATTTATATCCACATTTGACTATCATTTATCACTCAACCACCGAATACTTCATGAAATATGCGACATTTGTAGATGAATGTTAAAAAAAGACTAACTATTCTTATTTGCCATTTATTTTTACTCAGTTTGTTGCTGGAACTCAAACAATAAACTCTCTGGCTTTCGTGTTTGATGGTGTAAACTTTGGAGCTTCAGATTACACTTTCTCTGCCTATTCAATGGTGTGTTGTTGAGAACTAAAATCTATACAAATTCTCTTTTGTCTTTTGTTTTAAAAGCTCATATATTCAACCATCAATCTTCAGGTTGCAGTAGCAGCTGTGAGCATTCCTTCCTTGATTTTTCTATCTAATAGCCATGGCTTTGTTGGAATATGGATTGCACTAACAATTTACATGAGCTTGCGAACGTTAGCTAGTGTTTGGAGGTACTGTTAGCTGTTCTGTTTTTTTTATTAAGAAAAAAATTAAAAGAGAAGATGATCAAAATGGTTCCTCGACTCTTTTTAAAGGACCAAAATGGTCCCTCAAAATTTTAAAAAGTAAGCAAAATAGTCTCATTATGGGGAGAGATTATTCTGTGCGGACGCCGAACGCAGCTCTACATCTGGATATCAATCCGAATGAGCCACGTTAGCCATACCGAGCCGCAGTACCGAGCGGTACCGAGCCGCGGGCTTAGGCATCCGGACGGGGTTCCGCTTCCGCACAGAATAGTTTTTCCATTATGGGATTATTTTAATTCCTCTCTAAAGAGTTGAGGAATCAATGCATTGACTTCCATCTGTTGCTAAACTTACAAGTTGTTCTTGTGGTGCTTACAGGATGGGCTCAGCAACTGGACCCTGGACTTTTATTCGGAAATGAATTATTTAAGAAATATGGTGTGTCTCAATGCATGGAGCTCCAATTAATCTGAGAATTGTGCCCATTTGTTTAAAATGTCCAGTCAAATAAATAAATAAATAATTCTGTATCATTTGTAGCAGAGTATGTTTTCATTTTGCAGCCATCTTGAATATTTATGGTAAATGAATCTTCCATCACAATTATTATGGTCTTTTTTTTTTTTGGAGAAATATTTATGTTGTGTCCAATTTCTTGATTTTTGTTATTTGTGGTCTAAATATAAAATTAGATTTGCTTCATAAATTGTTAAGAAATTAAATCAAAAAGAGGAAATTGTAAGGATGTTGGGACATATTTGAAGTTTTTTTTTTAATATTGGGATTATTAACAATAAGGTTTTGTTTGTGACAACTTTCTTATTCTTTTCTGAAGTAGTTTATAATAGAAAATTTTGAAGTAATGTTATTTTTTGCAACAAAAGTAATTAGAGTCTTGTTTGGGATGATTTTCTTACTTCTTCTTATAGTAACATTTTAGTACAAAAAGTAAAATTTTTTTACTAGAAAAATACTTAAATTAGTAAGAAAGTCGTACAAAACAAAGCTTAAATTACTTTCCTTGCTCATCCCAAAAAAGACCCTTAGTAGGATAGGTTATCAAAGGATATATTATGCTAATGGAAAAGGAAAAATATATTAAAATAAGTTTATTTGATTTCATATTAGCCAATGATCTTATAATAGAGAATGAATCCTTTAAGAAACTAAAAAATCATTTAATTATTTACAAAAATTATTGGGTGATAAGAAAGGCAAGTTGAATTTTTTACCTTAGCCAAATTTAATGTATGATAAGATGGAGGGTTCTATTGAGATTTATCATAGAAATTTTATGATAATTTAGAAATGAATCATACACAAATTAGAAGACTTGGTTGTTGTTGCGTCCTGGAGTATTCGCGGCGGTAGAGAAATATAATATTTAGCGTCTTAACTTAGTACGAAAAATCCGGTATGCAATCATATAAGGTATTTGTCGTGTTAGGTAGAAGTCCAACAATGAACAGAAATCCAACATCAGATAGATGTCCGGTGAAAACCCGACAACGGGCATAAGTCTGACGTTGGGTAGAAATATGGTGACGAGCAGAGGTCAGACGTCAGGTAGAAGTCCAACGTCTGTTTGCGGCCAGGGAGAACACATGCGTTAGATGGTATTCGGGCAAAACTCCAGAGTCATTTGAAGTTCGGACAGAATTCCAGTGTTACTTGGAGATTCGGCGGAGTTTTGGCGTCACTTGAAAGTTGGGCGGAACTCGGGCGTCCCGTGAAAGTCGGGCAGGATTCCGGCGTCCCGTGGAAATCGGGCAGAATCTCGGTGTCACGTGGAAGTCGGACAGAATTTCGACGTTCTGTAAAAATCTGGCATAATTCATGCGGTGGTCAAGGAGGATTTTCTTCCCTCCTATCATTCTTCTCTTCTCTTCTCATTCTTCTTGTTGCTTCGGTTCCCTCTCAAGAGAAATGAGGGGTTATTTATAGTTTTTTGAGGATGACATGACCCGTAAATAGGAGGAGGATCAAGGGAAAATGTGGAGTGGTTCGATAGATGACCAATATTGAATCCCTTGATCGTGTACCATTCGTCAGACATTTGAAGGTCTTAATGATGTTAGAATTTGTCAATCTTGGGCTTGTTGGATTCGTCTTGTCGAGCCACTCGATTCGATTATAAGCACATCATGTTTGGTAACTCAAATTATGGTTCAAACTTTTCAACAGCGCTTTGGGTCCTTGATTTTGACTCATTTAGGCTCAGATTGAGTCAAATTTGGTGTTGTTGGGTTTGTATTTCCGAGACGATCAATTCGACTGTAAGTTTGCTGAAATCGGAGTTCAGATGATCC